CTAAATTTGATTAAGTCTAGTCAACCATCACTCATTCCTGCAACAGTTTGTTAAAAGAAATGTGTGGCAGGATAACTTTGTGTAAAAATAGACTGGTTCAGTGAAGACTGGTGTAAGAATTAAATTTGCGACCAGATGACCCCTGTTTGATTTTTGATTATTGATTTTCATAGATACGATGTCTAAGATACACAAAAGTAGCCGTGTATTAATTTGCAAAAGTTTAAATCAAATTATATTTTTAAAAATAAAGCCATGTAGAAGTATTCGTTGGGCTCTAAGTGCCAGTACAGTTCATTTGTATTTTATAATATCGCTAACTTAAGATATTTTAAATATATGATAAAATCAACCGAGCGGTATCGTTTCTTCAGCCCCTCAGTTTACATCCGTTGCATATTAAACAATCTATTAAGCGGGCTGTGAGGTAATATCTACCTATTTGTTATACTACAATGGCTTGTGTTGGTATAATGACTAATATACAATAACGTATAATTTGCATACTGTTATTTCATAGTTACTGGAATGAATGGCTTATGTTATGGATTACTGGTGTATTGGTGTAATCGGTAAATGTTAAACACTAGCGGTATGTGTACATTGTAAAAGGTGTTTCAATGCTGGAAAACCTATATTGTATTATATATAAGAGAACTTTATGAAGGGTTATTTGAATAAGTATCAATGGTTAACATTTGAATACCTAGTATATCCAAATCACAAACAACAACTCGGCTGACAGAAGCAGAGCATCAAGCTGGACAAAGTGTCACACAATGATGCTGTGGATCATACCTGGTTGTTTAACGCCACACCCAGCAGTAATGGTGTATGATGGCAGACTGCAACTAAGAGTCTGGACCAAACAATCCAGGGGTACGATGACACTCATGCAGCCGATCCACTGACCCCAAACCCCACGGGGTGGGTCCTTTCTAGTCGCCCTTGTCTGTACCAATCCACTGTACAGAGCTAGGACCTATTTTAACCTGGACACCCCACGGGGTGGATCCTTTCTAGTCGCCCTTGTCTGTACCAATCCACTGTACAGAGCTGTGACCTATTTTAACCCGGAAACCCCACGGGGTGGGTCTTTCTAGTCGCCCTTGTCTGCACCAATCCAGGGTACAGAGCTGGGGCCTATTTTAACCTGGAAACCCCACGGGCTGGATCCTTTCTAGTCGCCCTTGTCTGTACCAATCCACTGTACAGAGCTGTGACCTATTTTAACCCGGAAACCCCACGGGGTGGGTCTTTCTAGTCGCCCTTGTCTGCACCAATCCAGGGTACAGAGCTGGGGCCTATTTTAACCTGGAAACCCCACGGGGTGGATCCTTTCTAGTCGCCCTTGTCTGCACCAATCCACTGTACAGAGCTGGAGCCTACTGTGGATCCACAACACGTTTCCGTATAACGTCTTATAAATGTGTTGAAGGCTTTAACTCTTACTTAAACTGCAGGGCAAAAGAAAGTATAAACCGTGTTTAATGATGGCTAAGAATGAAGCAAACAAGAAATGGTTATTCGATGGTGATGCATTCGATACGGGTATCACGGGCGATATCTCACAACAGGTGACATGCACATGGCGTCTCAAGGAACTCAATTTCACAGAACCCAGTAATGAACAGAGAGTGAAGAAGGAATTTTCAAGTGTATGATTTCTTTTGCCCGGCAGTTTATCTTGTTGGTTTAGCCACAGCCATTCCGTTGATGAGGCAGATATCTCACAAATGAACATATTGCAAATGTATGATTAATACCACGGATATCCTCCTCGTGCTCCACTGAAAGGACCTTTGTTCTACAATGATTACGCGAGACTATCGACTTGTGCCTGTCATTCAACAAACATATGTGTATCAAAAGAATCTCGATATTTCCCCTGTTTCAACATGGTCGTCGATCAATCATCTGTATCCTGATCCTGGCAGAAGTCAAGCATACGGTTCAATGATTCCCACCGTGATAGTTCCACTATAGATCCAGCCAGCTTCTTAGTTCTCTCGCCAAAAGGATCCTTCATGCTCCACTCGTACACTGAAACAGTCCCAGACCTGCCTCCCGGCTTAGTAGAATGTACCAATCACCGCGACAGACTCAACACCATCCATGGAATTTGATAACTGTAATCCTGGTGTCGGCCGCTCCCCAGTCTTTAATCAATTAGGATGAAGAGTAAAGAAGGAAACAGACTTATCTCTCTGACCAGCTACGAACAACCATGAAGATTCTCGATGTGTGCAGGACTTGGACAAAGCCGAGTCGGATAGTATTCTCCATTCAGCTAAACTCTCAAAACGTGCTGCCATAAAGAAGACATGGAATACAGAGACGTGATGTTACAGGCTGCCAGAGCATTTACAACACATAAGAAGATCTTCTTTTACATCAACAATATCAAGAAGCCGTCCCTTTCGTGGCTGATTGTTCAAAGTGTTTGAGAAATCTGCTGCCAACCCACGCCAGTGGGCTTATATCCTGGCCTAGTCTGGCTGCATGGGGGTCATCACACGTAGTTATCTTGAGGATACGAGCAAAATAGGATATCCTGTTATATATACATATGTCACTGTCTTCCAATCGTCTAAATAGTAATTTCCAGTCTTCCTATACATTTCTTATACCATATATCCTTGCCTAATGTGTTTTCGAGCCCATAAGAAGTATTTCACTAAAATACAAAAAAAATAAGTCTTACCTTTGAGAACATTTATTTCTATTTACAATTGAAAAGTCAACATTTTGTGAATTTCATCGTGATAATTCCTCCCCAAGCGAGACGAGCCAATCAGGAGCCATCTTGTTACCGTCACCTGATTTTGAGCCCCTCCATGACAGTCAAGTTAAAAATAGATGTACAACATGTCTTGATCAGTCACATGACATTACATACAGGAAGTTTAGAAACAGCAGCCGATACATTATCGGTGCATACGATTGTTGTGATGCAAAATTATCATCAGATCAAGTTTGATTAAAATGTACATAAGTGAAAAAGTAAGTTTTGAGGTATGTGTTCATTACTCATTGAATATCTTACTTCATGTCGCTTAATTCGTAACATTACTTCAGCGACAACATAACTTTGATGTCTTCCGAGAGCTGTGAAGCGTCTACTTTGATTACGTCATTAAGTTCAGGGTTACTTATTGTTTAGGGGCTCGAAAAGAGGTGAGGCTCGAAAACATGTTACGAGGGGATACTGTTGATAGATTTTAACTGTGCTCTGTGTTCTTGTAATCGACAGAGAATTACGTTCAACTGTACTTAAACAGGCACAAACGACGTGTATAATTCAGATTTGTCGCTCAAGGATCCGCTGATCATTTGTCAGCACAATGCCCATGCTCATGGGTCTCGCCGAAATGGCGTCACCGACCTGCGTTACTAAAACCGAAATACTGTTATATAAAAAAAATCATTCTTTCACATTCTCCTACGATGTAGGGGGCACGGGTGGCCCAGTCGTCTAAGGGGCCGCGATTCGCTGTGCAGATTTGCGTCCCTTTGGCACGCCAGAAACCTATGATGGTGGGTTCGAATCCCGGTTCGCCCCAATAATGTTTCTAGGTTTGTGAGCACCATACCCGTGCTCGTGGGTCTCACCGAAGTGGTAAACGTCAGAGACCTGCATCTTTTTGGCCTCTCCTTCAACATTTAGCTGACACGCCGTAATATTACTGGAATACTGTTTAAAGCGGCGTTAAACCCAACTCACTCACTCACTCACTCACTCACTCTCTCCTACGATGCAAATTGTGTCCAAAACACGATTGAATGTCCTTATCCTTCACGTTTGACAATAATAACCGTGTCTTATTTACCGTGTTATGAAAAACACAACGTTCTGGTATCTGAAACTTTGGTAGTTCCCTTAACAGTGGGGTGCTGACAGACGAATCACATACGAATGAGTTGCTGCCTTTGATCGCCAGATGTTGCTACTGTCTACTGAGAAGATTACAACCAAAGAAACATCTGTACGTGCCCACACTTATACAAATTTATATTGATTGATATATTCTAAATTCAGTTTCGCAGTATGTACTCTGTATGTATGGAAATGTTGAAGGGGTTTAGAAAACCTCTCCTTGTGAAAATCTGTTGATTAAAAAATCGGTGGGAAAACGTAGCGGGGTCAGGCAAACCTGCTTCTATCAGCTCAATGACAACTAACAATCCATGAAAGAAAATAGTGCCACGGCACTGTAGCTCGCCTGGATGTCGGGTAAAAATGTTAAACTATGAACAAAGACGGTGTTATATGTAAGTAATTTTAGTGTCGGTAGAAAGTTATTTTGTATTAATTGTCGAATGCATCAAGTGTTTGAACTACTATAAAAAAAATATCGAATGCAGTCGCGACCAGATTTAAGCAGCAGCCAACCACAGCAAGTGACGCGTGTGCTAGAATCAGAGGACAACAGTAATCCGTGGATTCAAGTGCCTTGAACAAATGTGGTACTACCACCAATGATGGCAATATCACCCAGGCCTTTGGCCCTTTATGTCTTCAGAAGCAGATTTGTTAATTATTTTTGTTTCTTGAGGCACGGTGAGCTAAAAATGAATTCACTGCATAGGTGTTACCAGGTAGACCGATTGAGTTATACTTTGCCTAATTGTGCAGTCATCACCACTGCTTTCGTAAAACATGTCGAGACGATGATGTTTGACAGAATCTGCCAGGTCCTGAAGAGTCAAGTTCCAGTATTGGGCGCCACTGAGAAACTTCGAGAAAAGAAAATGCTCTAAAGCCACGTGTCTCCGTGTGTTTTTTTCAGGGGACAGATAGTCAAAAATTCTACAAAGAAACTGATAATTCTACAATACAAAATTACATGGTAGATTCTGCAGAGCTGTATCCTTACCAGTAAACTGAAAATACAGAAAACAATGACTACTGTTTCAGCATACTATGGCTGATATAAGCAAATATGTCTGTCACATGAATCTAAGGGAAAGTGTTCACACAATTTAAGTCGTTCCGGGTTGTATTGCACACGTTAGATATTCTCTCGAATATTTGCTTATACCTGTCAATACTATAACCATCTCGACATCTGGCAGTACTATGTGTGCTACTACAATAAATCACATTTGTTCAATGGGGAAATAGGGTTTCCTCTTCAGCTTCGTGTTGTGACAACGGGTGAAGCTGACCTAGAAGCGCTGTCGGGACGTATGTATTACTCGCTGGGTCACATGACGCATCCATCACGCTCTGTTCGCGTATAACGACCACTTCACCACCCCTGCAAGACGTGTGAGAGGTTTTAGCAGTTCAGTCTGACAGGTGGCGTTTGGAGATGTTTGTGGAGCATCGTCTTCACAGGATGTGACTTTGGCCTTTTCCCTTGTGGCGGGGCAGAATTTGTGTACCGAGATACGGTAAGTGTTCGGTATTTGCTGGACGAGCGTCAATGTCGTGGAACTGGAAAGGTTTCACACCACAGACAGAATTTCCGTGTTCATAAGTACATGTTGCCAAGGCAACCGGGAACATAGATTTTGTGTAAGTGTCAGGCACTCATGAAACATACATAACTATAATGAAGGATACGTCCTGTGGGAACACGATGACCGTCATAAAACATGGCCTGTGAAACTATAAAATGCATGGAGATTTAATAAAAGTGGCAAAGCCATAATTTCATTTCGATAATCAAAACAAACCTCTGCTAAAAGCAGAGTTCATTGTATGATTCCGACTATATCATAAGCATGTATTTATGAATCACTATTAACTAGCGATGATACCAGGTATTCGCGGAAAGGTGAGCGTATAGTGCCTGTGGCAACCATCACAAACACATGCAAGGGCAAACAAGAGCCCACTTGAACAACCACTGAAACATATGTGAACATATGGTATAAGGGAAATAGGTAATTACATCAGACATCATTTGGTCCCTGATGCGTCAAATTTGGAAATGTCCTCCACATGTCTTCCATAAAAGAATTTGAGAGCTGTGACCCTGATCAAACAACGATCCGGGTTATGATGTTTGCCCTAAAACGCGACAATGCTTGTAAGAGGCGAATAACGGTGTCGGACTCGCTGACTTGGTTGATGCATGTCCTCGTATCCCGATCGCGAATATCGATACTCATGATGTCAATCACTGGATTGTCTGGTCCAACAAACAAATCTTTGCCAATTCCCCATGTTTTCGTCTGAGCAGAAATTCCTATTCAAGTGCATAAAGAAACAGATCAGCAAGGAGAGGAGCATATTGGTGTCCATGGGGATGTCTACTCCTTGTCTACATGTCCTATCCCCCAGTTTCACGTTGATGTTATCTATGAGGAAGTCCATCACACTATACATTGTTTTCTCAGTAAACTTTAGATAACATTTGCTTTCAATTTTGACAGATTTGAACCTGACCCTTTGAAGATAGTGGTCTTACTCTGTGGTGCGGAGGCACGGGTGGCCCACTCGTCTAAGGCGCCGCGATTCGCTGTGCAGAGTTGCGTCCCTTGGGCACGCCAGAAACCTATGATTGTGGGTTCGAATCCCGGTTCGCCCCGATTATGTTTCTTGGTTTGTCAGCACCATACCCGTGCTCGTGGGTTTCACCGAAGTGGTAAACGTCTTAGACCTGCATCACATCGGGCTTTCCTCCCACATTAAGCTGACGCGCCGTGATATAACTGGAATAATGTTAAAAGCGGCGTTAAACCCAACTCACTCACTCATTACTCTTTGGTGCTCCATGGATCAAGGAATGTGTACACAACAAACGTTGTACAAAATTAACATAACGTTTTAACTTTCAACAAAATCAGTAAATGGGTTATCGTGTCACTGAATTTTCTGGTCAATCAGTTGATTGTGTGGTTTACTTACAGGCCTCCGTTGCATGGCAGGAGTGCTGCTGTGCGGCATCAGGTAAAAAGCACTTACTTTTTTATGCAAAGTGTGTGGGTGGCGGTCTGGTACCGATAGGGCAGCACATGTTTTTCGCGAACACATTGTGTCATCACTGATTTCCAGTGATCCATTCATATAAATTTTTGCGTTATTTTGTCTTAAACACCAAGTGGAATCTGTTTCGGCGGATAATCGAGACTGGTTATTCTCTGGAGTTGACGTTCTTTGCTGAAGTTTTCTTAAATGTGTCGTGAGGGATTGTGGTGAACCACACGCTTCTGATACACAGTGCAGCGTATTTTGTTTTAATGCTTTTCTTCGCATCTCATCTGTCCAATGAGTCACGGATGCCCCGGAATATGCTCTGCAGGTCTTGTCTCAAAGCGAATGAATGTGTAAGGGTAAGAGCTAATTCCCTTTACAATAAACCAGATTGACTGAGAAGACATATCCAGCTTGTACCAGAGATGTGAAGAAGTTGATGCTGTACGTACGCGTGTATAAACAAGTGATTAATAACACCTCTGATGACAGAATCGACTTGATAATAAGTTAACTGAATTTGTATTTTAGAAACCATTTCGTTTTAAGCTTGAGCTCGACTGTGGAAACGTTTATATTATGATACATACAGTTGAGACTATGACGAAGAAGCGTTTCTAATCTGCCAGAGACGAATAACTTATGGGTATGAATGAATCATTCAGTGCAGTTTATCTTATTTCTGCATCTCGAAAAGGATCATAAACGGGCTGTTCCGAATGGAATATAATAAAGTCCGAGCTATATATGTTGTGGGTGATGCATGTATCTGTCTTCAAACCATTACTCAGTAACTACAAGTATCTACGAAGTGCGAGTTGGTAGGTAGACATTTGTTTTAGGTACAGTAACAGACATAGTCGAACTGGTTGATTAACATCTTCTCCCCGTTGGATTTTTAAAACATCTTAAATCAGAACTCGGAGATTCAGAATCGTTTGATTATTTCAGAACAGAAATTAATGTTAAAGTTTACATTAATATATTGGTCCATGGAAGACCATGTAATTAAATGCCATACACACCGATGTATTTCTGTCGACTGTCTTTCATTTAAACCTCTTCAGCTTTCCATCACCAATTAGTTAATGTGAGAGTGATGCTCGGCCAATGGGGAATACATCACATCTTTATATGGGAGACTTAATGGCGTATCTAATAGTTTGGGCCAATCAGCGGAGGCGATGACAGAGCGGCTGCCCAACTGGAACTGATTGAAGCTGCCTACTGGCTAGAGACCAGGATCGGCCTGGGAGCAGAGGAGACTTTAAGGCAATTACCATGGCAACTGTTTCACCTTTCCATCCGTACTTATTTCTTTATCATATCTACTTTAGCAATCCCTGTGACAAACGTACATAATCTATCAACCAAGTAACCTACGCTGGTCGTCGGAGACAATTTAATGGTTCGGGTGGCCATGTGCGGTGACTTGGTTACTTGCGTGTCACTGTACCCCGACAGTGTGGGTCGTTGCTCGTAATAGCAATCACTTGATTGTCTGGTTCGAACACGATTAAATACAGGCTGCAGTCATATATCGCTGAGTTTGGCGTTTAAAATGGACAAACCAAACCAAACCTAATCAAGGATAGAGTGAAGCCCATATTATATCAAATATATATATATATATATATATATGTATATATGTATATATATATATATATATATATATACGTATATAACTAATATGAACGTGTTATGTACATACATTGGAGTCATTTACGTTTCAATGCGAATATGCATTATTTTGCCTCTTCTGATGTTTTGGTTTTTTTAAGAGTTATATACATATAAAGGACCTGTCTATGTTTGTGAAGAAGAAATAATTATTACGCTCATTGTCTATCAATTCAACTGGGTGGCACCGTCGCTGATGTTGGGTTTCACCCTTGCTATACTTTTTCAACCAATGATGCCACCTGAATTTAAAGAAGTTCGAATGAAGTAGCAAGGGTTACATAAATGGGTTGTGTGTTAGGTGAGGGGGTGTTTCTTGTTTTGAAAATTGACCCATATTTATCATGTGCATTTAAGTTTTCTCAAACTGCATTCGTGTATGTGCAACTTCTGCACTGAAAGCCTGGACTGATGCAGGTAAAACGTATGCCTGCGCCCACCAGTGACGATACTATTTAAAGTGTGTTGTCCATCATTCACATCATATGAAAAGTTACAACCTCTTCGAATATAGTTTCACCGAAGGCATCATGAGTTATGTGCCATTCAACTTCGAATCAGTTTTGCACAAGATAGCTTTCTCCTTTTTCTCAGAATCTGCATTTCAGATCCATATACCTCAGCATGAAAAATTTATTCCTTGATCCATGGGGCTTTTGTTACAAATCGTGGTGACCATAGATATAGTAACATATCTATCTTCAGAGGTTCAGGTCAATTTGTCAAAAATGAAAGCAAATGCCATCTGAGAAAACAATATGTGAAACGCTGGACTCCCTCATTGATAACATCTATGTAAAATTGGGGGTTAAGACATTTAGGCAAGAAGTAGGCATCGCGATCGGGACAAATTGTGCTCCGCTTCTTGCAGATCTATTTCTTTATATATATGAATAACAATGTCTGCTTGGATTGGCAAAACAAGGTAATTTGGCCAAGACGTTTAACTTAATCTTCGGGTATACCGGTAATCTGATATACTAGTAATTCAATAACCACCAAATAGCCAATTTTCTTTTCATTGATTTACACACCTGAACTTAAAATAAGGAAACCAGTGAGACCGCTTTATCTTTTTCATATTTAGATCTTTGCATAAAGATAAAGAATGACAATAACTCTCCACAAGACTTTATGACAAGATGGATGACTTCAAACTGTCAACTTTCCCTTTATGTCGAGTAATAAAAAATGGTGTCTACATTTCACAACTTTTGAGGCACAATCTTTCTGTCAAGATTCATACCATGAGCGTCATACACATCTTGCTCAGAAGTTATTTGATCAAGGTTCTAATAGTCAAGGCCTCAGTAAAGCTTTCTAAAAGTTAAATGGTAGACATGTTCCCGGCGAACAATTGACTTGCCTTTGCACGTGTTTGTGACGGGCGTTATGGCAGAGATTTCTTATGAATATGGAAATGGTTTTGTCGCTTTTATTTGAAACAACAATAAGGTTTCTTTGTTGAAAGTCGCTCACATTAGCATTAACAATGTTTGTTAACTTAAAATCAATCAACTTCTTCACAGAAAGCAGTAAATGATAATGACAGTATTTGTTTCAAATTGATTGGAAGACCCATGAGTAACATACACATGAGTTCTCAATGGGGTAAGAAGCAAGTTTTTCCCCAAGAAACTAATGTATATGATTAAACGTGTCATATATTTTTTGTCATTTTGTTGAATCCTAATTTGGGTTAATGAAGCTAGAGCATGAATCTTGTCTATACATGACAACATGTAACACAATAATGGACATCGAATTGTAGCAGATTACGGACCGTTTTTTAAATACATTTTGTTAAATGTTCGTATTAACGGAAGTCAATGTTTTTCTGGAGGACGTTTTCCACCCCCGAGGACCATGACTCTTCTGTAAGTCCAACATGTGCGTGGTTCGATAATTTGTCTGAGTTCTCTCACCAAGAGAACCATGAAGCATTCTAACGCTGAAACAGTCCCAGACCAGCATCTGGCTTTCTTGTACCGATCACCGCGACGGACTCAACACCATTCAGGGGACAGTTATTTCAGTATCGTCTGCTCCAGTCATCAATCAGAGCGGATGAAGAGAAAGCGGGAAACAGACTCACCTCTGCAGAGTACGACTCCTTCAAACCATCTGTGACGGGTCACACACAACCAAGATACTCGAGGTTTCTTGGGCACTGATCTCTGGACATGGCACCAAGAATGCTCAAATGTGATTTTATAGGCTGTCAAACAGTTAAATAGTATTAAAATAGTTTTCTCTAAGATTCCCTTTCGTCAACAATGCTGAGAAGCTTAATCTCACTTGTGACTGCACAGTCCATTGTATGAGAACTCTGCCACGTACCCACGTCATGACACGTGATTGTCTTGACGATAGCAAGAAAGGGAGAGAACTCAGTTATTGGAAATAAATGGTAAAACAAACCCAATGGCCACGACATGTCTTGAATATGCAGAAGGTGTCCCATGTACATGGTGATATTCATAACATTGGGATTGAGGACAGACACTATTCCATGATTTCAATAGATACTGTCGAAGTCTCCACACATTGTTAGTGACATATCAGTAGAATACAAACCCGAATATGTTGTACCGCTATGTGAACGAAGCAACGGGTCTTTCTTCTTTCTTCTACCACAAACCAAGAGTCTGGAACTCTCTGTCAACAATGTTGCATCAAATGAAAACACTTTATTGACACCACTGATGTAAGATCGTGTGTATATTATATACAGTCCAATTGATCCGACAGTTCTCGGTGTGTTCTTTCCGGTAATGGTTGTATTGTCAACGCCAGGAAATAATCAGTCTCAATTATCCAACGAAACAGATTTCACTGGCCGTAAAAGGCAAACTAGCGCTGAAAATCAGTGAGGACATTAGGTAGCCAAACTTCAGAGTGAACCTACTGAACATTTTTGTACGTGTTGTACGTGCAGAGAGGCACATGGGTGCACATCTTACCTACAATGTGCACGTTCTATGTTATGAAACTATGTCCAGAATCGACTCCACATCGATTGATTCCTCATCCGAAAAAACAGCCTTCCTTACATCCAGGCCAAAATCACCCAACAGGATTAATATGGCTGTGATATAATTCATACCAGATATAAAGCAAACACCTTCTCGTCTAGACACGTCATGTTTCATTGAAACTATAAACAGTTTGATCACTCTACCTTGTAACAGATTTAACCACTTGCTTCCTAAATACGCAACACCCATCCCCTGTGGACTGGTGTCTGTATTCGGAGCAGATGGGAGTTTGATGGACAAATTCTGGACATGTCTGGA